TTATTATTATTATTATTATTATTATTATTATTATTATTATTATTATTTCAACACAGCAGATAACAAGGGAATATGGCTTAAGAGGATTAAAAATATTTTAAATTGTGTTAATTTTAGTTGTACGTGTGTAATTTTTGCCTGCATGTGTATCTGTGTCCATGTGTGTCTGGCACCTGTCTGGGCCGGAGATCGGCCTGCCTCTGCCTCCCCAAGGACTAGAATTACAGGAGTGTGCCACTGCACCTGGCTCTGGAAAGATTTTTCAAATGGAGAACAGCTTTGTGTTTATTCTGTAAGAGAGACAATTGCTTGTGGAGAAGATTTTTTGAGAGAGGATTTCACTATATAGCTCTGGCTGGCCTGGAACTCAGTATGTGTAGCAGGCTGGCCACAAACTTATGATGCTCTTGCCTTTGCCTCTAGCTGAGACAACTATTTCTGAAACTCAGCTTAAAAAAACAAAACCAAATAAATAAGTTGACCCAGAGGAGTCCCCAGAAAGTGCCCGGGAAGTTAGAGGCATGGCCTGAGAAGCACACAGCCTCTGCTGGCACCTCCTGCCGACACAAGTGTTAGTGAGCGCATTAATGAACTCACAAGGCATTCCAAGAGTCTGCACATTTTTTTTCACTACTGCTGTTGTGATAGGGTCTCACTGTATAGCCTAGGCTGGCCTTAAGTACACAGATTATCCTCTTGCCTCAGCCCCCAGAGTGCTGGGATTCCAGGCCTATGCCAACAGGCCCAGTTGGTTCTCTGTATTCTAAACCATAGCTGTTCTTCTCCTGTCACTTTCTATAGTGTTTTGTGACACTGGTAACACAAATAAAGCAAAGAAATATAGCAGCACTTTCAACAAGAACAAACAAACAGAACAAGGTACAAGGCATAACCTGTGTAGGTGCAGAGGCGCCCCATGGCCCCTGCCACCCTGTGTGGCTGGGGCAGTTGCGAGTGGGTGGCTGTGTGTGTCTCAAGGTGCTTCTTCCCCTTACAGTCATCGCCTGTGGTATGGAGTGGAGTGACAGGTTAATATGCAAACCTCAATCAGAATACTGCACAGAATGTTCAAGAACCTAGGAAACAATCACCCTAAATCACAGCAGGCATGTTCTGGTGATGATTTACTTCCAGTACTGAGGGCTATTAGCAGCCAGACTAGTCACACTGGCCAGTGAAGCCATAAGCTAGGGTGGGCTGGAGCCCCGGTATTACAATGGGGCTGGGGCCCTTCAAGACCAGCAGCACCTTGAAAGAGGAAGCCGTACTCACACAGGGACTCCCCGTCCACTCTGGAAAGTTCTCCGGCAGTCATCCTCCCACAGTGACCGAGATGGGCTGCAACACATGCAGAAGGGGCTTAGGAAGCTCACAGCCAGATTGAGGGCCAGATGTCCTATAAAGCCAGTCTGATCAGAAACCACGCCCCGGGAGTGTCAGAGATGCTGATGGCTCCCACCAACAGGTAAGCACAGGCAGCAGGAGGATCACAAAGCTCCAGGCTGTTAAATGTGCCTCAGCAGTCACAGGGAAAGAATGGCTTACCTACAAGTTCTCAGAGTGTGATTCTAAACGGCATGCAAACGAAGTTGGTATTACTTACGGCTACTAAGCAAAAATCAAAAGTTGATTGAGTTCACTCATTGTTTAGTTATGTGTTCTTATGTATGTGCACATTCATGCAGGTATACCCAGAGGCCGGAAGAGGGAGTCAGATACCCTGACACTGGAGTTACAAAAGGGTCTAAGCCTCCAATGTGGTATGGGAACCGAACTCAGGTTTTCCACAGGGGCAACAAGGGCTGTCACCTGTGAGCCAGCCCTCCAGTCCCCATGCCTACCTTTTAAAAACCTAAAGCCTTTCAAGTGTGAAGGAGAGAAACAACTCTCAAAACTGTCCTCTGACCTCCCTGAGTTCCCATACACACAGTAAGAAGCCTAAATCCTGGCCGACTGCACACAGGTCACCCCAACATGTGACAAGCTCCCACAGGAAGACGGCCCACAGAAAGCAACCACGAGAGCAGCATGGAGATCACAGAAGACGCAGAAGAGCCTCAGAAAAAGCAGGGTTTTCTCCACCTTGAAAGCATGATTCGGTGGAGAAAGGAGAAAAAAAAATACTTAAATACCTTCAGACCCATGGCTCTTTGTGTCATAACTTTGTGAGTCATAAACTCTGGATTCATAGCCTTTCAATTTGTAAGTTTCTGATTTGAAACTGAGCTTCGTTAAAACTTGAAAAAGTTGAACTATGATTGATGCAAAGGAGGAGGAGGTGTGCTTGGCCAGCCACAGAGTCCTATCCAGGTAAAAGGATGCACCGCCTAGTGGAAAACCATGAACACACGTCATTTCTTCCCATGAACCAGATGGCCAAACTATTAACTTTCATTTAAACTGGACAACTGGGGAACAGACCGCCTAGGAAGATCATCCGTCCTTGAGCCAGCTGGAGCTGTGAAGGAAGCACAGCAATGGCCTCTCCACATGTGAGGCCTCGGGCTCTGGCACAGTGGCAGAGCACTGCAGGTCTCCCCTGTGAGGATGCTGAGTGATGGAGGCACAAGCTGACGGACCCTGGGTACTACCATCGCTGGGCTCCAGGGGGCTCTGCTGTGAGTCTAGCCATGTGGAGGGAAGTGCCATAAACCATGTCTTAAAAATACTTTTTAGAAAATGGTTTCTTCAGAGTATGGAATAAAGTGGTTGCTGTCTATACCTTCAGTGTTTGTGGGGCACTGGAGACCCATGCTCCACAAAGTATTTCTTTCACTTACTCCCACACCCAGGAATGCTTAGAATGTTCAGAGCTTGAGTAGAAGGCCAGCATGAGTGAATGAAATCTGGGTGGCACGACTTGAGAGAAAATACTAAGGCTTTAAATTTTTCAGAAGAGGACTGGAGAAACAGCTCAGTGGTGGAACCCCTCCAGAGGATCCAGACAGTTCCCTGGACCCACATGGCAGCTCATGGCCATCCACAATTCCAGTGCCAAGGAATCTGACCTCATCTGACGTCTGCAGGGCACTATGTACACAGGGTGCACAGACACACATAGAGGCAAACACCCATATACACAGAGTAATAGTAAATATCATTATGATACTCTTAATTATTTTTTTAAAAGAATAATGAAAGGGCTATTTTCCACCAGTCAGTCAGTCCCAAGGACAAGAAGACACCCCCCCCCAAGCCACTGTGCACACGCCCTTCACTCGCTGGAGGGGCTGTAGAGGCTCAGCTGGAAGCATGCATGCCAGTCTCCTAGATAACCACACATTCACCAAACTGGCAAGGGGTGTGCAAAAACAAAATGAAAACCAAGCAAATAAGAAGTTGAGTTGGCAAGGGTAGGAGGGCATCAAGGCCAGAACTAGGTGGCAGAGCGTGTGTTTGGCATGTACAATACCTTGGACTCAGGAAAAAAAACCTTATCTGCTGCAGGGGAAAGCCAGGCCTTTATGAAAGGCAGCTGGAGGGAGAGCTTTATACGGAAACAGCACACACAGCACAGGCAACTAAAATAATCTCAATCAGAGTACACACTCTTAGAGATGCACAGCTGGGCTTTGGCTAAGCGCAGACAGCCCCGTGTACAGGCTGAACTGCTGGGCTGCACACCTCACCTGAGGACACCTGCTGGAGGCTGTGCCAAGAAGCACACACCAGCACCGCCTGGCCCTGCCTGGCACAGCACAGCAACATTCTGGGACGGTGGGTGAGGGGACCGTCTGGGGGCCCTGGCCAGTGAGAGCTCTGTAATGCAATGCCAGAGGGTGCCCTAAGCTCACTATGGCCCTCACACTCACATTTAGGATGAGGAAAAGCAGCGCCACTTGAACCAGCCACCTGGACCCTATGACTCTTACTTTGTGACATTAATGTTAAAGTGCTGACAACACCACAGTAGACAAAGCCTTGGACGCAAGTCTACAACTGTAGAAACAGGAGAAACTAAATGTAAGCAGTAAGGACTGAATTCTCAAGTGCTGCTCTGGCCTTCCTCTGACGTTCACTGTGGGGAAGACCCAGCATCATGCCTGGAGTACAGAAGGGTCTGTGGCTACTCTCAGTGTGGCCCAGGAGACAGTTCATGCAGTCCAGACCAACCTGCCCTCTCAGCCACTGTGTGACTTCTGTATCAGGTCAGAAGGTCAAGAACGCTAGCACCCACCTCTGTCATGTCCATTGATGCCATCACCCAGATGCTAGGCTCCAAGTCACCCTCCCCGAGCAACCCTGTCCCATACCATCACACCAGAGCTCTCACTCTCATAGACTTATGGTGTTACAGCCACCTGGGCATCTGTGCTGCACTGGGGTGACAGAAAAGCACCAGAGTTTTGGAAGCCACAGATGTAGGAACTTTCTTTTGCTCATGTCAAGTCCAAATTTACCAAATCTGAATGAACTACTTCCAGGTACAAAAATACTAACTACAGACCCACAGGCTGGGAAGGGACAAGTAGGACAGAGCTAATTTCGGTCTATTTAACTCTGTGAGAATACTGAGTTCAACTCTGTAAGAGAAACAGTGCCAGACACCGAGGCCTGTAATGGGGATGAGCCCAGAGCTTGGCACGTGCTGAGCAAGCACTCTACCACGAGCCACATCCTTGGTCCACAGCCAGAGTTACATGAAAAGGAAGAGCCAGGCAGACCTTTGAACTAACTACAGAAGCACACGACTTACGCTGTTTTAGAGTCCTATCTCTGGAGTAGACTCTTGAGGTGGTCCCATGGGTGGTAGGGTAGGCTGTGAGTGCATCAGTGCGCGCTGAGAGCATCCTGCAGTCACGGCAGGTGTATCCATTGCTGGTCGCCACCTCTGCTGCCAGTTCACCATTTCCCTGAGTGGCAGCTTTATTTCCACCTGAGGTTTCCGAAAGGCAAATGAAAGTTGTTGATCACTCTCTATAGATTACCTAGCCATAGCTTCTGTTTTGAAAAATGTACGAGGTACCAAAGTAATTACCTTTAAGGTCGCCATCATCGTCAAGACCTGAAACACACACACATATTACACTGTGAAACACAACCAACCCTCCTACAACTGCGCTAGGTGACAGGCCAGTGCTACGCTGCAGCAGTGTTTGGGGTCTAGTCCTACGATGCCCAAAGACGGTGGCATGGGAGAGTCCTGCACGACAGCACATTATGGCCCACAAGGACAGACATGAGGGAAGAACTAGCCAGCTATGTGAAGCCTCTAGGCTTTTTGCTTGTTTTTTGAGACAGGATTTATCTGTGTAGCTCTGGCTGTCCTGGAACTTACTCTGTAGACCAAGCTGTCCTCGAACTCACAGAGATCTGTCTGTCTCTGCCTCCTGAGTGCTGAGATTAAAGCTGTGTGCCACCACTGCCAGGTGCCTCTATGCTTTTAACTTACAGCATGCATGGTCCTGCGCCTCAGATAGTTCCCTGGCTCAGCAAACAGAGGCATCCCCAGTGGACTCAAGCTCTCTAGAACTAAGCTGGCTCTTCTAAACCCCTCAGCAAAACGAGCAGAACAGAAGCTGAACTTAGCAGGCAGCTTTCTGGCTCTTAGAGGAGCTGTGTCCGCATGCACAGACTTGGTGACACGGTATAGCTCACCTTGAGGGTTCAGGTGGCCCTATCTCTGAGTCAGGGCACAGCCTCTTGCCTTAAATCCCTGCTGGTGCCACAGCAAGTCCTTTGTTTTTATTTGAGAAAGGGTCTTCTGGAGCGCAGGCTGGCCTTGAACTCATCCTATAGCTTAGGATTGGCTTGAACTCCTGATTCTCCTGCCACTGTATCGTGGTGTTTGAATTACAGGAAAATGCAGCCATGCTAAGCTTAACTAAGTATTTTCTAATGACTCAGAACTCCCTTTACTGTCTAGTTGCTTAGAGTTTTCTAGAACATAGCAGGACTTTTACACCACAGTAAGTGTGCCCTAGACTATGAATAGTTGGAGCATTGCTGTCTGCTCACTGAAGCAACACCTCACCCAAGCCACAGAAGCAGTGGGTTAAGAGCAGCGCCACGCCCCGTCTGCAGCAGGCAGAGAGCCTCTCTCCCTGGGCTCCCTCCCAAGACAAGCGCAGACACAGGCGCGCTGGGCCAAGGATGCCTCGCTGGTGACTAACCCCAGAAGTGGTCCACTTCGGTCTGCTCCCGGATCAGAGACTCGTCCAGCACTGGATGCCGCAGCACCGCAGCACTGCGCACGCTGCAAGGGTTGTCGTGGCTGGTGCCAGAGGGCACACCTTTCCCCGACAGGTGGTTGATACTAAAAGCTGGCTTGCTTGTACTTCTTCTCTGCTTGACTGTCCTACAAACAAGTAAGAAATGCATTTTTAGGCTTTCCTTAGAAAACATAGAATCGTTAGATTTTTTTTTTTTTTTACCAACAAAATTTGCCAGAGAACACATATTCAGCATTTTAAGACGTGTCATTTTCTTATGTTGTGTGTGCTATAATCTAAACATCCATTAATCTAAAAAAAAAAAAATATTTTTTTTAAAAGCTGGAGTCCAAGAACTTGTTCTAAAATTGTAAACACAAAATAATTTCAGACTATTCTGGGATCAACAACCCAACATTGGCTCAAACTTAAAATAACCTGAAAATAAAAATGACTTAAGAATTAAACAGATGCTATAGCTCATACATTTAGCCATGCCACCCCCCATTCTGATAAAGTAATAGCACACACACACTGACAGGCCCCTGCCTTCTGCATCCAGCAGCGGTAGTTAACTAAGGAACTTCTGCCTTTGCTCTTCTCACACAACACAAGGAGCCCAAAACCCAGTGACAGCAGGATGGGGTGGTACACACCTTTAGTCCCAGCCATCGGGGGACAGAGGTAGGCAGACCTCTGGGAGTTCTGGCCAGCTCTGGCTACAGTGAGACTCTGTCTCAAAACAACAAAAATCCAAATATCCTGTAAGCATCTGGCATCAAGTTATGAGTGGGTACACACAGGCCAAAGGCACCAAAGCTACCTCCTCCAAGAAAACTGACGTGTGAGAGGCCAGTGTTGACTTACAGCCTTCGCTGCCCAGGTCTCTTGTCTGAGGAACCGGAGCTTCTGGGCACCTTAACAACTCTGGGTGGTCTAACAACAAGCAAGCTGTGCTTGGGAGTTGTCTGCTATAGCCTGATGTTTTACGTGACAGTCTGCAGGTCTCAGGTGGGGACACACTACTGGAGGATCCCATGCATTGTGGATGGGTGCCAGCAATCTCGAGGGCCCTCATAGGTAATGTAATTCTCATATGAACAAAATAAACTAAAGAGTGTCAGTTCTCTTCAGTGTCTCAGAAAGGTCCAAATGGTGGGAACTTTTGCCATTGGCTACAGTGAAGATGAGCCATGGAAGGTACAGAGACAAATGTACTGGTCAGTCCAACTGTCCATGCGCAGGGACATAGCTCACACATGTCACAGACAGGCTTGAGGCGGCTCTGACAGCTCAGCAGCACCTCTGCTGCCGACCCAGCAAGACTCCAGCCCTCTACATTTGGTAGGGTGCTGACACTCAGCTCTGCCAGGATGAGGTGGCTTATGCCTGTGACCACAAGAAGAGCATCTGCACTGCCACCCACAGACACCAGCTCTACTCTGATATCAACCCCAGATACTTTGTGCATTCCAGAACAGATTTCAGTCAGCTCACAGGGCAGATCTGGGCGTGAACATGTGTGTGCACACATAACTCCAGGGGAAGGGCTTGATCTCACAAGCTGAAAAGCCAGTGAGCTTGACAGCTATAGACAAGCCATACAGTGCTCACCTGGTTTCTCTCTCCTTGGCAGGGGTGGCCCTGCTGGTGCTGATGTGCGCGTCAACAGCCTGGCTGTCCCCGCTGCTGTATGGAGCTGTTGTGAGCAGGCGCAGGCTGCGGCGGGACATCCTTGGAGAGTCAAATACAGGTTCCAGCCTGTGCTCAGTCTCAAAATCCAGAGCATCCGAAGAATAGCTAGAACTGGAGGGAGATATGCCGGGAGCTGCATCCGCCAGTCAACTGTGCATGTGCCTTTGCCAACCCCCTTTACCTGCAGCCCCCAGAGGAGAAGGCCTGGGACTTCCTCTGAGAACAGTTGGACTGCTAGAACCCATCTATGGGAATCATGTCAGGGTATTTTAATAAAATTAGAGCACACTTACAAGCAGACACTAGGCCTGATGGGGAAACTAACAAGACTGTAACACTACAGGTGTCACTGAAAGTGAATTCAGCAGCATGTTCTGGAGAAGATGGAAAGCCCCAGAACACACATTTCATTTAACCCACTAAGCCGTCTCCACAGACCCTAGAATTCACTCTATAGCCTAGGCAAGTCTCTAACTTACTGTCTCTCTCTGCTCTCCTGAGTGGCAGCTGCAGACACAGACAGATATAGACAGACACACATACAGACAGACACACACAGATCCTCGAAGAGGGAAGCCTGCCACACACCCTTCCTTCCTGCTGTAGTGAGAGAATCCTGCAGCCATGTCCTGTGCCTGTACTGAGTCCCTCCCAACCTCCAGGGACCCTTCCTTCTTAGTCATATCTTCCACTCTCCACACCTTGGATTCGGATCCTCTCTTAGGTCCGACAACAGCATCCAGACTCTCTTCAGGGCTTCAGAGTGAAAAGTAACAAGTATGCTTGGCCACATCATGCCCCAACTCCACCAGAGCAGTTGCTCCCTGAGGACCCTGGTGTCAGGTAGCTGACTCACTGACAATGTTCAGTCTTGACACCCTTGGCTCTCCACTACACTTGGCCTGCTTCAGACACTTGGCTCCAGGCACACTGAGGCTGGTTCACTGTACCCACCTCACGTAGGCAGCTTCCTTTTGTCCTTCTGCCAGAGGACAAAAAGCAGTGACTGCCTGTAGAATGTACAATTCAAGGCCTGAGGGCTTCTGGGAGAGGAGGGAGGCAAAGGCTGGCACGACCTTATGAGCAGCTAACTGGGCTGGGTGGGTCAAGGAACAACACAAGCCACCCCAATTCTCCAAGAGGAGCAGGTCCTTTCTAGACTATGACAGGCTCCATCATAGCACTGGATGTGGAGCCATGCCAGTGAAGAGGGATCAGTATAACGATGCACAACTGAACTTCAGTACCAGGCTAGTGAGATGAGCTCTCAAAAACCAAAAACTACACCTGCAGAGATAAATCAGTTACTAAAGTGCTTGGAATACAAGCGGCAGGACTTGAGCTCAATCCCGAGCGCAACACGCAGGCACGCAGGCACTACGTGTGGGTAGCCTGTGACTGTAACCCCAGCAGAAGGAGAGACGACAGGCAGATTCCTGCCATGGTAGTTCAATCACTGAGCCCCAGGTTAGAACCGGTCTCAAAAAACAAGGTAGATGACCACTGAGGTCAGCACATATACCCACACAACACACACCTGCGTGTATACACAAATATGAAAACAGATGTGTGTGTGCACACACAAACAGTAAGTGCTTAAGCTTCCAGACCTAACACCACTTCACCAGAAATAATGGTAGTCTCAAGAAAGAAAGATACTATTCAAAAACAGGGTAAAAGATCCTTCTTGGAAAACTCACTGTCACAAGGAGAAGGATCTGGGAACCTTTTTTTTTTTTTTTTTTTTTTTTGAGACAGGGTCTGAATTACCCTGGAACTCTCTATGTAGACCAGGCTGGCCTCATATGGAGGTCCATCTGCCTCTGGCTCTCGTGTGCTGAGGTTAAAGACCTATGTCACCACATCCCATCAAAACTGATATTTTGACTAGTGTTCAGAGTAAACTAGTGGAGGCACGAGGGAGCCAATATCAGTGCAAAATGGAGCTGGTGGCAGCAAGCCAACTTGTCCACTCTCTCCAAATTCTTACAGTGCATGGCATTTTCCAAGAGAAAGACATTTATTTTAATCAGACCCCAGGAATGTCTGGATAGTTACTGAGATGGCTAAGAACGAAGATATGAAAGCTGCTGAACCAGTGCTGGAATGGGTTAGCAGTGGTTCCTGGAGGAAAGCAGGGTGCCTCCTGCCACACTGAGCATCCAAATGGGGACCACGACAAGTCTTCAGTGAAGCCTGGAACCGTGCCCACAGGCTCCCTGTCTCCTGCTGGGTCTTCCCATCATCCCTGCCATCCCAGCTTGACCATCTCAACCCTGCTCTCATGTCTAGTCCTGGTTGGCTCACTTACTTTTTTGGACCCAGGTGCTACCCAGTGGTAACTGGCTTGGACCCATATAGTCTCTTCTGTCAATCTTGTCCACCTCACAGACCCAATTTAAAGCTAGGAATACTAATAATGGCTCTCATTGACAGGGACCCCTACCCGTGTCCTTGGCAGGTCTGGCCTACTCAGTCCTATATACTTTTAAGCACAGCTCTGTGGATTAGAAACCTCAGTTGGACTCTAGTCTACATACCTAACACGCTGCCACCCTGCCACCATTCCTCCACACCACCTGTCCACAGGCCCCACAAGCCTGACTGAGCAAAGGCTGCAAACCTTACCGTAGCCAAGCACAGCTTTCCTTGGATACATGGATTCCTTTACACTGTGCTTAAAATAGGTCATAAAGGCTAAAAATAAGTCACCAAGAATAACTGTGTTCTATGTTCCCAGAGAGGCTCAGGGAAGTCACCTGCGGTGGCCATTCATTTCCTTCTGACATACTATAGGCTTCAGGCCAAAACATCATTGTGAGTGTGAGTGAGGCCAACCTGGGCTACCTGGGGACACCTGTCTCAAAACATAAACATACTTGCCCAGCAAGTATCCAACCCAAGTGCAATTTGACTGAGGATGGAAATGAGAGGCAGAGGGGTCACATATCACAGTGGCATCTTCTTGGGGCCATGGAGATGGTTCAGAAGAAAAGTGCTAGCTGAGGTGGTGTGCTTGGGAGGCAGAGACCCAGGAACAAGCGGGCCAGCTAGACTAACCAAACTGGTGAGCTCTGAGTGAGACCCCGCACCAGTGAAAAAGGTAAGAGCGAACAAGAAAGATAGCCACTGTCTGCCTCTGGCTTCCACATACTCACACACCTGTACATACACGGCTGCCCACACATGTGCCACAGAGAGAATATTATCTTGGCTATCTCCTCATTTCCTTTAGGTTTTCTGACAGGTGAAGCCACTGGGTAATGACTCGGCACATACAGCCTGTGCGCCTCCCACACTTTGCTAGGCACCCAAGTTTTCCTAAGCCTGCCAGACATGCCCTTAGTACAACTGTTTCTCCTCAGCACATGCCGCAGCTTGGAGTAAGAGGCCCTGAGCACTCACCCTTTTCCACCTGGCGAACTGGAAAGGCAAAGAGCATAAGCAGCTCACAGGACCCAGGCATCCTGTCTGCAGCACGCTCCGGGAATCTGGCCTCCAAAGACAGCCTCTAGTCCAGGGCCACTGAGTAGTCGCCCAAACTACTAAACAAGTGACAAGACACTGGCCACACTCCCAGGCTTGCTCCCAGGCACGGCCACAGGGTGGAGCCTTCACAGTGAGTCACTCAAAATGACTAACCCTGAGTCACGGGGGAAGTGGGTCTGAAGCCCACAGCTCTGGGAGCCACTCACGGGCCTCCATGCTCATGTAAGCTGTGTGTGGAGCGCTCCATGCTGTATGACTGTCACAACAACACAGAGCAGTGGCGCTGCCCCCAGCCAGGGCACTCACTCACCTGAGTGCGTAGGTGTAGCCGGTGTTCTCCGGCACACACTGGGGTGGGGTATAAGTGTGCAGCCGAGAAAAGTCCATGTTCACATCTCAGACCATGCTGCAGAGGGAACAGAAGAGGAGCCGGCGTTAAAGGGTGAGTCAGCAGAGGTCCAGAGACAGGGCTGGCGGGCCCATTTCCATCAGAACAGAAGACATGGTTTCAGTCGCAACTCAAGAGTGTCCGTCACGTGCCAGCTCCAGATATGCACACAAAAACGTAACTCTGGCCACATAAGCTTGTCCACCAGGGTGGGATCCCAGAACCCATGTGAAGCCAGACACAGTTCTTCTGTAATCCCAGTGTTGTGATGGTGGGATGGGAGGGGAGACAGGAGAATTCCCAGGAGTGCACACGCTAGCCAGTCTCAAACAAGGGGAAGGCAAGGCTGTCCTCTGACCCACACTGTACCCTGCACAAACACACACCACATATAAC